AAGAAAGCTTAAAGAAGTCTAAAGATAAGTGAAAACTCAAAGATGAAGAGGTTAGAAGAGATTAAAGAAAATGGATTTTTAAGTGAAATTTTGAATAAGAAAGTTTAAATGAATTTGAAGGATGAATTTGACTTGTCATCTATAAGAATAAGAAGTTAGAAGTGTTAGAATTAAGTTTGGATAACATGGAAAATTGGGTATGATTATTGATTTCCATATGAAAGATGGAATTTTGAGGTTAAAGATGAGATAAATGAATATTAATGAGTTTAAGTATGTATATGTAAGTTAGGAATATGAAAGGGGTTGAAATATGAAGGATTTAATCCAAAAAGAATGAATTTTCGGGTTCAAAAAGAGGATTCTGGGAAAAGTGCATCGGTGCATATTCATAGTGCACCGATGCATCAAGGTTAAAACCCAGAAATTGTTTGAAGGTGTATCGATGCACAGGTAGTGCATCGATGCACTCTTTTAATCTAAAAACATCGAATGCAATTGGTGCATCGATGCATAAGGCATGCATCGATGCATCCCGATAATAAACAAACATCGAATGTATTTTGTGCACCGATGCACAAGTAGTGCATCGATTCATCGGTAGGGAATGCATCGATACACTGGGCAGTGCATCGATGCATACCTTCATTAAAAGATGAAATGGGCTTTTCTTTTAGCCTAAGAAGTGACAATTTAGAAGATATCAATTAGTATACTGATATGTATCAATGTATTATTATGATGTAGATATAGAATGAAGCTTGTTCTGGAACAATCTAAGGATTAAGATTGATTCAAAGCAAACAAGGCTAAGGTGAGTGCACATTCTCTAGTATATGAGGTTCAAGGGAAAATAAGACTTGCGATAAGTCTATTTCCAATAGTGAAAAACATGAATTCATAGAAGTATATATTTTTTATGATTTATATATGTGCATGAGTATATGTGTTATTGATATGAATATGGTAAGTAAAAGGGATTAATGGTGATGATAAGAATAATAATAAGGATAATGAAATGACAGGTATATGTGAATATATGTATTGAGGTGTTTTTGTATGTATTGTAAGATTATATGTTTATGTGATAACATGATGAGATGACAATGATTTACATATCATATGAACACATGAGAAATGTTATGAGCTATATGAAAGAGAAATTATATGTGATACGTGAAGGTGAATCATATATTTATATGAATATGAACTCATATGAGAATTGACATGAACTACGTGATTACATGTATATGTGAATGAAACCATGAGCTTATATGAATATATGATATGGTTACATGAATACGAAAAAAGATATAAAAGATAATGCCCATGTTATGTGTCATGAGAGCTAGGGGTATAGTTGGCATGCCAAGAGTCGAGGGTCTATGTGGTCATTCGGGACATATATGTATTCTTTGGAACATGTGTGAAGTCTGGTGAGACACATACTTGATCCTTGGCATATGTATATGATTCTTAAGGAATTATATGTGGTCCTTCGGGACATATATGAATTCTTTGGAACATGTGTGAAGTCTGGTGAGACACATACTTGATCCCTAGTATATGTATATGATTCTTAAGGAATGATATGTGGTCCTTATAGACATTATTATATGGCACTACAGTGTAATTCTACGCGGCACTCCGGTGCAATTATATGTGGCACTTCGGTGCAATTATATGAGCTGTGGTGAAAGCATTAGTGCACAACCTCTAGTACTCAGATATCTTTAGTTCTCACATGTGTATCATGGGCTATTAAATAGATAATATTAATAAAAATGAAGATGATATTATAGTTGCCTGGGTGTATGTATTTTATGATAGCATATATGGTATATGTTATATGATATACATGAGTACAGGTTAAGGTATATGTGAATGAGTATAACTGATTGAAATGATGATATAATAATAAGTTTATAAGATATATGATATGGACATAAGAGATCATAGGAACATGAGATAAGAGATATGAATGATAATGACATATATGTATGTATATATATTTGATACATGTAAAAGTATGAGTTGTATGAAATGATAGTAGTAATTGTTTATGTATGATTATTAGTTATCGTTTACCTTATATGTTTATTGCCTCACTAAGTCTTTAACTTAGCGTGTAAGTGATTTACACGTAGGTTTCGAGAAGAGTAAAGAGCAATGTGGAGCAAGACATGTCAGTTCTCCTTACTAAAGGTCAGATCAGAAAAGATGTGAATAATATGTATTTTAGTATATAAAGTTCTAGTTGGCATGTTTTCAAAAGAATATATTGTTTAAGCTATGAACAGTTTTATAAATGTTTTGAATAGTTATATGTAAATAAATAAGTGAAATATACACGCTCTGATTGGTTTTGTAATAATGAAAATGTCTTTTATGTAAATTAGTCATTTATATGTTATAAAAGTTTTAAATTACTCACTATTTTATACAAGTACATGTTTTAAAAGGTCAATGTGACACCTCGGATTCGTATCCGGGTCGGATACGGGATGGGGTGTTACAAAATCAACAATGAAGACCAAATTGATATGAACGGAAGTACAATATGTATCCAAAATTCAAAAACATCCGAATTACTCTAGAGTAACCAGGATAGACTTGATTACTAGATGAATTAAATAACCTCAAGGACTGAGGATTAAGTAAGTGATTGGGATAAGTCTGGAAACCCGAATGAACTTACATGATGTATCATCCCTATGAGTTATGATCCACAAATCAAGTACGTCAACATTTCATGATATCGTGAAAGCGTGGAAATGAAATAATGAATATTGGAAGATCTATTCAACGATGATTCCGAAGATGATCTATGGATAAAAAAATTTGGTATTAAAAAGTAAATACCCTAGAAGGACAATGAATTTACCAATCGACAAGCATTAATTCTGGGAGATATTCATCTGGAGTTGTTTGATAATGAAATCAATCGACATAGACTGTAAATGTCCTGAAACTTCATTTCTTCCTTATCATCTCAAATCATATTCTGAATAACTAATGATTCCGTCAGTTATTGAACTCTTCATATAGTGATTCTAAATTCTGACATTCTATTGGTATACTGAAGATCCGTGTTTCTCTGCATGTTAAGATTATCCAGTACCTCTGAATAATATATGTAAACTCTAGTGTGTTCCCTAATCACATGAATATTTTATCTGATTTCTGATTTGAATTCTGTTATGATACCTGACCTGGATTCTGATCTGATACTGACATGGATTCTGATCTGATACATGACATAGATTCTGATCTTATACTTGACCTGAATTATGTTTTGATTTTTTATATATCCGTTTATGGACATAACATATTTTATTGGGGGGTATTGTTGGAGGAAGAATACTTGCAGGTTCCTCGGCTTTGTGCTCAGGGCCTTACTGGACGTGACGGGGTTGTATGGTTCTGGGGAACCTACACATTTTGTTCGTGACGGATAGGGGTAGTGTTCATATTTTTTTTATAAAAAAACATGTTTTAAAAAGATCTGAAAAGTTACATGATTTTGTGGGAACATACTAGAAAACCTATTCTGATCTCTTAAACCTAAACATCCCAAATATTTTCCATCTGAACTAAATATTATCTGTTATTACCGGAAATATCAATGGGACCTCAGCTTAGCCTAAAAATCTGTAGATATCTGAACCAATAAGGAAATATATGTCTATCTGTATTTGCACGTTCTTCAGCATCATCTGGTAGTTCTATATTATTGAGCTTTCCGAAGCTCACTCTATTACTCATCATTGCAGGTTAAAAGAATTGTACCTGTGCAATTATTGACATCAATAAGGGAGTTCTTTCGGTGTTACTTGTAGAGTATGATACATGTGATTAAGGGGCATGTAATTGTATTTTGTTTTATATACGAGTCTGAAAATCTGTTTTATCTCTGCATACTAATAAATGATTTTATGAGTTACATGTTTTAAATAAAAGTTTTAAATTTTCCGTTATTTTTACTGTGGGTCGCTCCGGTGGCCCTAATGTGACACTTCAGATCGGATCGGGTTACCCGCATCAGTCTGAAGGGGTTACATTAAATGCATTCACTGAGAGGTGTATGTGTTTAGGTTAAATGTAAGTCATTGATTTACTAAAGGAAATTAGTTTACTATGATAAACATGTGCTTAATTTCATAGCCAATCAATATATTTAAACTTATTGGTTGTTGTAAACTTATGATTTATTTATATCTAATGAAAGAATTGTTTGTAGGAAAGGAGAATGACAAATGAAGAAGTGTAGTAATGATCATGAATTCAATTCATTATTCAAGTATCAAGTTGATTGTATTAAGTATCTACTCATCCAATTAGCTATGAACTTTTATGTTTTATTTATATTATGAATTATTAGATTTTGTATTTCGAACTTTTAAATTTTATGTTTCGACGTTGGACTATGTAATTCAAAATTTCGAAAATTTAAATTTATGTGTTTTTTATTTAATAATTTAAAAAAAATCTGGGTATCTGAGTAGCCAACATACAAGTACCCGCAAAATCTAGATACCCGATTACCGAATACCCAAAACATCTAGATCAAAACACATACTCAAAAAATCACCGATCCAAATATTCCAAATATCCGATAATCAGGTACCTAAAAATCTGGATATCCAAATTTACACAACCCTACCTACCATTCCTCGTATTGTTTACCGCATTTAATAATTAGTTCAAGAAAATAAATGACTCAAATTATCTGTTCCGCTACTGTCGGTGAGTATCTCAACCCTTAACTCTTAACCCCAAATATCACCATCAAATTACTTCGCCTGCGGCCTGCCCCACATATCGTATTCGTCCACGTAAACTTATAACCCACGTGTAACAATCCTGAACAATGTGCGCATTGCGCTCCTCACACACCCTTTATAGTTTAATGAATATAGAACTCTTTTGACTTCAGGCAAAATAAAATATAATAGAGGCAAATCTCACTAAGCCCCAGCTCATTCTCCTCTGTCACCTCACTTCTATGAGATAAAGTGAGCAAATTTGGTTTTCAATTTCATCACTGCATCTTCTCTTTTCCTGTGGCTTCATCTTCAGAAAAGGTAAGTCAAGTTATTAAATTGCTTGCCGCTTTTTGAGTGTCAAGATCCATGAACCCAGATCTGTAAAGCCTTGAACTTGTTGCTGGGTTCTTTTGTTTTGTTCTTAACAAGTAGATTTAGTTCATTGCAAAGGTTTTTTTAGCATTTAAAAGATGTTGGGTCGTTCTGGGTTATCTAGAACTGGAAGCTTTAGGCCAGAGAATCTAGGACAAGATGCTTTACATATGATTGGCAATCTTTGCTTCACTATATTTGTAATTGGTGTCCTAGTTTTCACCATTATAGCTGCTACGTATGAGCCGGAAGACCCACTTTTCCACCCTTCTACAAAGATCACAACTTTCCTTACTTCCACATCGAATGCCACGTTCCAATCCGATAACACTGTTGTTCGAACCGGCGAGGATTTTATGGCCGCCAACCAGACTGCATTTGCCACTTTTATCAATGTGACAGATGTGGTAGAAGTCAAGGAGGCGAGAACCGATGAAACTAGCTCATCTGATTGCCAGGGTGATTTTAAAGAACCTCTTAATTGTAGGGACCCCGAAGTGTTCCATCTGATGATGAAAGAGGCAATTGAGCGTTTTAAGGATATACATTTCTATCGGTTCGGGAAGCCAGCTCCGGGGCCTGAGGAGAATACTTGTGATATGGCATGGCGGTTTAGGCCTAAGGAAGGGAAGACGGCTGCCTTTTATAAAGATTATAGGCGGTTTGTGATTAATAGATCTGAGAATTGTACACTTAGCGTGGTGAGCATCGGGGATTATCATTCAGGTGTGAATGCAAGGAAGAAGAAGAATAAGAATCAAAAGCCCGGATTTGAGAAGACATCTGGTAGGCAGGAGCAAGCTGTTGTGGCTTTGCCTGTTGTTGGGGAAATAGTGAATGATTCGCTTCCAGTGGTCGAGTCTGAAAATGCATTTAGCCGTGGGAAGTATTTGATTTATGTGGGTGGTGGTGATAGGTGCAAGAGCATGAACCATTATCTCTGGAGTTTCTTATGTGCATTGGGCGAAGCACAATATTTGAATAGAACTCTGGTTATGGATTTAACGCTTTGTTTATCTTCAATTTATACTTCGTCAAACCTGGATGAGGAAGGGAAGGATTTTAGGTTTTACTTTGATTTTGAGCATTTGAAAGAGGCAGCATCTGTGTTGGATCATGAGCAGTTTTGGCAAGATTGGAGTAAATGGCAAAAAAAAGATGGCTTAAGTCTTCATCTCGTTGATGATTTTAGGGTGACACCAATGAAGCTTTCTGAGGTGAAGGATTCTCTGATTATGAGAAAGTTTGGATCTGTGGAGCCCGATAATTACTGGTACAGGGTTTGTGAAGGAGAGACAGAATCTGTTGTTCAAAGGCCATGGCATCTTCTATGGAAATCAAGGAGGTTGATGGATATAGTGTCGGCAATTGCATCAAGGTTGAATTGGGATTACGACTCTGTTCACATCGTGAGAGGGGAGAAGGCCAGGAACAAGGACCTGTGGCCTAATCTTGCACAAGATACCTCACCTGATGCCCTTATCTCAACCTTGCAGAATAAGATTGAAGATGGGAGGAACGTTTACATCGCAACAAATGAACCCGATGCATCCTTCTTTGATCCTTTGAAAGACAAATATTCGACTCACTTTCTTGATGAATATAAGGATCTTTGGGATGAGAACAGCGAGTGGTATTCAGAAACAACAAAGCTTAACAAGGGAGTACCAGTTGAATTTGATGGTTACATGAGGGTCTCTGTCGATACAGAAGTTTTCTTGAGAGGGAAGAAGCAGATTGAGACTTTCAATGAACTGACCAACGATTGCAAAGATGGTATTAACACTTGCAATGCTGCAGCCAGTTAAACCCTGCACATGTGGTCTGAGAATTCATCTCGACAATAGGATCTATGTGTACTTTTAGTCGTTGTCGCCTTCGATAAACTGTGTCTTAGCTGGTAGTATTGTGGCATTTCCTGAATTTTGTACTTGTACGACATTGATTATCAGCGTTTCATGACTTTGCATCATTTTGAGGTTTTAGATAAGGCAGAACTTTGCTTTGTGAACTGCTTTTGATCTACCTTTTCATATTATGCTCATGTGATGGAAGTTGAGATTCTCATATTACCCTTTGATATTGGTTTTTTACCTTTTCGAGAACCTAAACCTTGATCTATGGATATTATTCTTCTGTACCATTTAGGCATTAAAGGTTACAAATGTGTGTTTTCAGTATTAAGACGATTTTTTCAACCCAGTTTATTCCATTCAAAAGTTGTTAAGAAATATGGTTAAGAAACAGTCTATCACTTCATTTATCCCTATTTAAACCAACACCAATAGCTTTTCTAATTTATGGAGCTAAGATATATTAAATTATGTCTTTTGTGCCTATAATTTTATTTTTATTTTTTTAAAGTGTACTTTATTAAATGCATTTTGCCATGTGGGAAAAGGGTGCTTTAAGCCGTCATCGTCGTCATTGAGCGACCAATGATCGACATTCATTATTGTCGTCTTTTTAAACCCTAAATTTGCTAAAATCTCTAAATCAATCACAAACAATTGTTTGATGTTTGGCGTCGTCATATCATGATGGATGCAACCATAAAAATCGACGACGGTGATGGCGGGCCTTCCCCTTCTGTTCGAAGGCAATGGCAACATTCGATGGTTTTTTTTTCCATTGAGATTTTTGAAAAATTTAAGATTTTTTTTTAAAAACTACTAATAATTTTAAGTTTTTTTTTGAAATATAATTTTTAAAAAATTATAAAACTTGACGTGTGTCACATTCTGGGTGATTACAGTTTTTAACAGTAAACACTTAAAATAACAACGTAGCATCTTAATCAAAAAATATTTTAGACACCTAAAATAAAAAAGAGAGTTTAAACCCTTATTTTTTAATTAACCCTAATTACAAAAGTAGAAAGGAAAGTTGAAAAAACTGTATGTTGTTAAATAAGTAGGGAAACGGACTGACCCTACATAGCAAACAGGATGTTTTGATTTTAGCGTCTTCACCCTCATGTTTCTGTTTTCAACTTGTAACATCATTTTTCATCAATGGAAACCCTGTCTGGTTTTCTGTTCCCCAGAAAATAAATCACAAAGCTTCCCGCACGGTTGCATCAGTTTCAACTGAGTCGGCATTAACTTTCCAACACAAGGCCAGTTTTCTTGGTAACCAATAGAAGATATATATATATATATATATATATATATATATATATATATATATATGCTTCATCTTTAGAGCAATAAGAGATTGAATTATCCCATTTGCATGCAAATTGCATTACAATGGCGTTTCATTTCCCAGTGAGAGCTGAGTCAATAACATCAGATCATTATGCAGAGACAATAATCGAAGAAACCCACCCTCAAGTGAAGAATAAAAGTGCTCAGGCCACCGTCACCTTGATGTACCAAGCAAATATAGCAGGCTATATGCGAAGCGTTACGATTTTATGGTGCAAGAACGTCATAAACCATTCTCTCACCATAATCATAAACACTGCCGATGGAGCTTCCCAATACAGTTGCAAGATTGATCTTAAGCTTTGGCATTTCTGGTGCAAAAAAGGGTATAAATCCATTAAGGTTGAAGGCCACCAAGTCGACGTCTACTGGGACCTCCGTTCTGTTAATCTCAACGGAAGCCCTGAACCGACATCGGATTATTACGTTGCACTAGTTGCAGATCAAGAAGTGGTGTTACTGTTGGGGGATTACAAGAAAAAAGCATTCAAGAGAACAAGATGCAGACCTGCATTGGTGGAACCACTGCTGTATTACAAGAAGGAAAACGTGTTCGCCAAGAAAAGCTTCGCGACACGAGCTCGGTTCGGCGAGAAGCAAAAGGAGCACGACATCGTCGTGGAGAGCTCGACGAGTGGCTCGAAAGACCCCAATATGTGGATAAGTATGGACGGGTTTGTATTGATACACGTTAGGAATTTGCAGTGGAAGTTCAGGGGAAACCAGACGGTTTTGGTGGATAAACAACCGGTACAAGTGATGTGGGATGTGCATGATTGGTTTTTTAGCAGCTCCGGAACGGGGAACGGGTTGTTTATATTCACGCCCGTTGCGGCTGAAGCCGACAGTGACATTGAGGGAAGTGGCCACGGAGGGGACAGTGATACCAGGACCGGGAGTAGGTATTATTCCACTGGAAGCCCCATTAATACGTGCGAGTTCAGCCTGTGTCTTTATGCATGGAAGATTGATTGAGATTCAGTGTCTGCATTCTTTCAAGTTCCATTAAAAAGACAATGCTTTTACAGGCATTCGAGTAATGTAGATTATAATCATTCAAGTTATTGAGTAAAATAGAGTTTATGCTTTCCCTGTACACAGAAAGTTGCCATATGATTTAGAATCAGTAAAATATTTACATTGCTCATATCCAATTGCATAACTGAAAGCACGAAACAAGCGACCTTGGTAGTAAATGAATTATTATTATTCTTTGAGATTTCGGGTTTGATTATGTTAAAGATTGTCAATGACAATCAAATTTTAAATCTTAAAATAATGAGCATTAAATCAATAATTTGCACAAGATAACATGGATCTATTGACCTAGTGTTCCTTTCGAGATCTTAGATAATGTTGAAAACATTTTGATGTTTCGATATAACAAATTAAATTAAAAGAATTTTAATTTTGAAAATGATTTTTCTAAGCATATTCGATATATTAAATCGAATATCAAAATATTACTCAAAGTATTTCAAAGTTCATTTTAGATCCTTACTAAAGTATAAAATTAAGTTTTAATCTTAAAATAATTTCAAAACAATTTTACAAAGTATTTCGAACCGTTTCAAAGCCAAAAATTACAGTTTGTCCAGAGGGAACCGATTCCCCCCCAAGGGGGTACCGATTCCCCCCTGAATGGTTTGGCTCCGAGAAATTCCAGTATGCTCGGAGGAAACTGATTCCCCCAGGGGGTATCGATTCCCCCCACTGTTCAACGGTCGAATATTTAAATTTTACACTTAGGAAACCAATTCCCCATGAGGGGGTACCGATTCCCCATGAGGGGGTACCGATTCCCCCTACGCTCCAAGCAGAAATATTAATTGTTTTCACACTTAAACGACTCCAATAACTTCATTAATGATCCCCAACGTTCAGAAGTGATTCAAGGTGTATTTAAGCAAGCTTAGAAGCCATTGATCAATAACAAGAAACAACAAGCAACTAGAATCAAGAGAGAATCAAAGAGAAAGCATCAAACCTCAAGTTTGAGCATTTCAAGCCTATTTTTCATTCAATATTCATTTTGCTTTCAAGAACACTTATTGTGATCAATTATATTTAGAGAAAATAACCTTAGTGACCGAAAATTCCTTATAATATACGATTTTGACCAACTTTTTTCGATTTGCCAAAATGACCAACAAAATCGCAATGCGATCTCTAAATCGCAACGCGATCTCCAGTATCGCAAATCAGTTTCCAGATTCGCAACGCGATTTTGACTATCGCATTGCGATTTTCCAAATTTGCGTTGCGATTTTAGAAAATCGCAATGCGAATATGTAAATCGCAACGCGATTCTGAATACAAAATCGCAATGCGATTTTCAAAGCGCCATTAGTATCGCAACGCGTATTTTATTTTCAAATTCCAAACACGAATATTAATACATCCCGTAATCGCAACTCTTAACCTAAAATCCTAAATCACAACTCAGTCCCATCTCCATTCTCACTCTCTACGGCGACATCCGTCCCCATCTCCGACGAAATCCGTCCCCATCTCTGACGAAATCCGTCTATCTCCATCTCTCAGAGCCACCCTCACAATCATTCACGATCAGAAATGGAAAATCAACGAAATCAACCACCGAGGGTTAGTTTTTTTTAATTATTTTTATTTTGAAATTTTTGCATTATTATTAGGTTTTTCATATTGAAATTGATGATAAGTTTACTGGTAATTTCAATAATAGATTAACCATTTCACTTAGATTGCTTATTAAATTCATTCGATTGCTGCCAATACTACTAAACTGTTTAGTCTTTAACCCTGTAAAGTTAGTATTTGTCTTTGTTTTGTCTTTTGGTTGAAGTAATGCAATTCATTCAAGTTTCAATTTTAGACAATGACTATTTGAAACCGAGGATCGCAACGCGAAATGAAAATCGCAACGATAGTTTAATTCGCGTTGCGATAGTCATTTTCGTGTTGCGATTTTCATTTCGCGTTGCAATTATCTCGTTGCGATAGTCAAATTCGCGTTGCGATAGTCATTTTCGTGTTGCGATTTTCATTTTCTTGTTGCAATTTTAAGTTTCAGAAACTATTATTCTTCTGTAAATTGAAACTTGAATGAATTGCATTACTTCAACAAAAAAACAAAGACAAATACAAAATTCACAGTGTTGCAAATTTAAGTTTGAAGAATAAACTACTACTACTCTTTATGTTTATTATTGTTTTTGGTATATCTTCACAGTGTAGTTTTTAATCTAACTTGGTATGTTTATTGTTTTTGTAGAACCTTTTTTCGGCTCAATTGACCTTAAGGAATAAAATAAGCCTAATCACTACAATTGCTTCGAAGCTTTCACTTGTATAAAGAAAATTGTTTGAGGATACTTGCTTCGGGCCATGGCTGAAAGTACAACATCCGGGTGGAGATGCTATGTTGACCCATTTGTGGCTTCAGACCATGACTTGCGATCTACCCGAGAGTATAAAATGTGGTAATGAAGAGATATGGTTTCATTTTCCACCGGCGTATACGTGTTTTGGGCGGGAGGAGTTTTGCTTAATCACTGGTCTACGCTTCGGACACGATGATGTAGGTCGATACACTAGTCATATTACCTGCCCATCATGGTTATCCCGGGTTTTTCCTGAGCTGTCAATGGAGAAGCCGAATTTACACGTCGATAACTTGACGAGATTATTGAATAAGAAAGATGGTTTTACTCGGATGGATGACGTCGATGTTGTCCGAGTATGCCTTCTAGTACTTTTACATGCATGCTTTTTAGGCAGAGAGGCCAGACAACCTATTCCTAAGGACCTAATATTATTGGTAGAGGACCTAAATGCATGAAACTTGTTTCTGTGGGGTTCTTATCTATGGAAAGCTACCTGGAATAAGTTATCGTCTGCCTTTGATGACTGCAAAAGTTTGCGTGGCGATGGTTCCAAATACACTTTGTCAGGCTTTATTTGGGCCTTTAAGGTAAGAATTTCTATATAATGTTTCCAAAATTATAATTAATTATTTAACAATTACTAATGTTTGTGTATTATATTGTTTTTGTAGATTTGGATATTTGAGGCTTTTCCCGACATGTAGACATATGCATTAAAAACTTCAAATGATATTCTTAGAGCTATTTCCTGGAAAAGGAAACGACGGCTGTTGATTTGGGAAGAGTTACTATGGTATACGACAATAAATGATGTAAGGTAACACAAATACTACCATATATAAACAAGTTATTACTAGTACACGTTTAACTTTATTTGAGCTTTTATATTGTTAGGAGACCAACACTCCATTACAGAGGCTGACACCCACGGAGGCTGAGCTTGCCACTGATTGGTGGCAAGCTAGTAAGCATTTTTTGATGGTACGGATGATGAGCAGTCTCCACTTCGAGAGCCATCACCTCACCCAGAGCCATCACCTGATCGACCACACTATATACCTCTACAACGAGAGCCATCACCTATTCCGTCACATCATCGAGCCTCTTCTCCACTATCACCTCATGATAGGCGACCGACAAAGATGCCACGACATTTATCTCCATGTTCTCCACCTCCACGGGATGAGTTAGGGGAGTTACGTGATGAGGTCAATGCCTTGCGTGAGGAGGTCGATACTTTACGCGATGACAATAGTGCATGGCGTGACGAGGTATCTACTTTACGTGGTGAGGTAGCGGCTCTACGTGATATGGTAGCATCATTGCAGAATGAGGTTCATACTCTACGCAATGAGGTAAGTTTAAGATTTTTCATATTTAACTTGATTTACTTGTAATTTCACTTAGATTAACCATTTCACTTAGATTGCTTAGTAAATTCATTCGGTTGCTGTCAATACTGCTAAACAGTTCTAAAATAACCCTGTGAAGTTAGTATTTGTCTTTGTTTTTCTTTTGGTTGAAGTAATGCAATCCATTCAAGTTTCAATTTGCAGAAGAAGAATAGGCGCAACACGAAACTTAAAAATCGCAACGCGAAAATGACTATCGCAACGCGAATTTAACTATCGCAACGGGATAATCGTAATGCGAAATAAAAATCGCAACGTGAAAATTGCAATGCGAAAATGACTATCGCAACGTGAATTTTGTTTCGCGTTGCGATTTTGGTTTGTGTTGCGATTTTTATTTCGCATTGTGATTTTCCCGTTGCGATAGTCATTTCTGCGTTGCGATAGTCATTTTCGCGTTGCGATTTAAGTTTCGTGTTGCTATTTTAAGTTTCAGAAACTATTCTTCTTCTGCAAATTGAAACTTGAATGGATTGCATTACTTCAACCAAAAGACAAAGACAAATACTAACTTCACAGTGTTGCAAATTTAAGTTTCAAGAATAAACTACTACTCTTTATGTTGTCCTTGAACATGCACTAAACCTATATGCTGTCCTTTTAAATGTTTATAAATGCTTACTTCCGAAATGTTATCTGATGCATTTTGTGAACTATGATAGAATAATGACTTGGGTGAATACCGTGCAAGTTTGAAACATATTTGTCTTTGTTTTCACTGTTTAATATCATGTCTGTTTATTTACTGATTTATGTAATTTATTTTTAGCGGCCTGATAAGGTGGATGCTTTACATTAGGTTTTTCTTGCACGACGGGGTTCATGCATCAGACGGCGTGCACGTGCCATTACGTCTCTGTTCACCCCAATAGTGCAAAGACTCCGTAAGAAGAAGCCCGACTCACCTGTCATCGTTCAAGAGGCCTCTCCTATCATTCAAGAGGCCCCTATCATCCCTCAAGAGTCCCCTCCCACCGTTCAAGAGGCCCCTATCATCGTTGAAGAGGTCCCTCCCACCATTCAAGAGCCCGATTCATACGGCGTAATATGTCAAATTATTGAGAAACCCCCTCACGTACCGGACATGATGGATGACTGTTGGCTTTCGTATGAGTTACCGGCCAGTACCATTCCGGCAGATGAAGTGGAGATGAGACAACTACCGGAAATAATTCTGGATAATACCCTTTGGGCTAAG